CTCCCCGAGCTACCTTTCCCTCTGACAGCCACTGACGGTCTCCGCCGCTAGAAGAGACCCCGCGTCTCCAGCGCCCGCCTCTCCCCCTCCCTCCCGGCCCGGCCCGGCCCCGCCAGCACCGCTACCTCCGCCAGCTTTGCCACCATCAGCACCACCTCCACCACCGCCACCACTACCACCACCACCACCACCACCACCGCCACCGCCGGCGGCGGCAGCAGCCATTTCATCTCCACAGAAACCAGACACAAAAACATGGCAGAAATGGAGAAAGAAGGGAGACCTCCGGAAAATAAAAGGAGCAGGAAACCGGCTCACCCAGTGAAAAGGGAGATCAATGAGGAAATGAAGGTATTTTTGGACCTCGGGGGTTGGGAAGACCGAGCTCTTTCTTCCGTCCGCTCCTTCTGGGCTGTTGTGCGGATTTGGGGGGATCCAGGGGCGCGCTTGTCAGTTTCTCTGGGATGCCCGGAACGCCTCGGCTCCTCCTCCAGGTGCAGAGCAGAAGCCAACTCGCGGGTTGGTTCCCCGAAATGTGCCAAGCTCAGATTTGATGAGGGCGGGGGCGGGGGGGGGTAGGGAAAGACCACATACTACTTAACGGTACAAACCCCGGGTTGGCACAGATTTGTTTCAGGGACGGGGCCCCAGGGGCCCCAGTGGTGGGTGGGCATGACGGACAGGCTTTCCCAGCGGGTAAAACCATCCTTCGGACCCTTCCAAAGTTGAGAGCCGCCCGGCCGAGGCACCTCGGGGAGAGCTCGATGCCACCCCTCTCCCTAGTACATCTGCCTGCTTGGTGATGTCGCTTCGCCCCAAGTCGCCAAGGGTGACCGTGTAGCGGTTGTCAGTGCCCGCTCTGTGGCGGCCTGGGCGGCGCGGGTCTGGGACGGTCCTGCCCGCCCGGATCGCCCCGCCCGCGCCCGCCTGGGTGCTCTGCTGTCTCCACCCGAGCGCGTGTCTCTGCCCGCCCCGCTTCCTGGGTCAGCACCCCCCTCCCACACCCGCCCACGGTCCCGCTGAACGCTCGATTTTCGTCGGAGGGGCGGCCTTCGCCAGCGCTTGCCCATTGTTCAGGAAGGCCGGCCCGGAGTCCGCTCAGCCGGCCGAGACCGGGCTCCCGGCCAGGCCAGCGGTGCCCCAGAGGTGGCGAGCGCAGCGGCCCCGCGCGCCAGCTGTGCGTGTTTGGAAGCGATTGCCCAGGAGCACCCCGCTTACCTCCGGACTCCCCTTGTCGCCCCCACTCCTTTATTAGATTCTGCGAAGTTGCGAGGGTTAGCCTGGGCGAGGATTTTATTCTCTTTTGATTTCACAGGTTTCTCTTGATTTTTATTTTGTTCATTTTTCTTTTGTCGAGTTGAAAAAAGTAGCGGGTTTTCTGTCTTCTCGGTGTTCCTCATCTTCTGAATACAACCCGCGGGCTGCCAGGTGATCGTGTCAGGTTTGGTGAAGTTTCTACTGGAAAGACAAACTGGATTTTAAAACGCCATGCTACTAGGTCATTTTTTTTTAAACTGCGTTTTAACGTCGTCTTGGTTAGGACAAGCATATTCTGTGACGGTGCCTCATATGAAGCTCACACTTAGAAGGGGACAGATGGGTGTACATCCGTGTTTGTGTACCTGGGTGCATATGCTTAGCCTTACCTTCCGCCTAGAAATGTCAGTAGCATGCTAATTTTTGGAATTCGAGTTTGTATTTCGGGGTGAGAAACTTAATGCCTTCAAGCATAAGGTGCAGGATGGAGCCAAAAGAGAAATAAGGAAGATTTGCTTGGAAATTAATGCCAGTCCCTGTAATGGAAACCACCATTGATTAAAAAAAGAAAAAAAACACACACCAAAACCAACCAAAAGACTAGTAAAAAGTTGTTTTCTTTCCATGAGGGTGGAATTCAGTCTACAATAACCAGTTTCCCTCACTTGCCCTTCCTTCCCTCCAGTCCGGCATTTACAGATTACTTTTCCATGTCATTTTAAATTGAGGGTATAGGAGAAGAGGAGAGAGGTGAAGGCCACTAGGAAATCACAGCATGCACTGGCCCTTTAAAACACCGCCTAATGTGATCTATATGGATGGCAGCTTTTAAGTTTCATAGGTTCTAGAATTACAAATTAGCTAATTTTAATCAAAACATGTGAAATGTTATCCCGGCTGGATATAATGGCTGACTGTGCTCCATGCTTGGGGCTCGTGTTGTTGACTTTGGCTGCAGGCAGTACTCGGCGGTTTGGGAGATAGTTGTCCTTCTACAGTATAACAGATGTTTGTCTGAACTGGTGAGGAAGAAACAAAAACAACATTGTATGAAGGGGAAAAATTACACAATTTTTAGCCAATGCTGCGGGACTAAGTATGGAATTAACCTTGGTGTGCAGAATTTCCTCTTGAAAAAAACCACGTTATATTTTTCTTCCAAATCACCACTTACTATTTGAAGTTTTAATCCTCATCATTTCGATGCAGTGTAGCATTAAACAAGAAGTTTTATACAGGAAATAATTCAATTGCCTATAGGTTCGGTATTTCTCTCTGGTTTAGAACAATGTGAGAGACCCCTGGCCAGAATTTTCACTCATGTTCCTGCACATCATGCCAATGTGTCTAGTGGAACTGTTTTGTAGGCAGTCCTCTAATATAATAGCACGAAGAATCCTTATTTAAACTGTTTTCTCAAAGTCCAAAGGGTTATTTTAAGCTCATTAATATTTTTCTGCTTTTGATATTAATAATTACAGACACAAAACTCCTCCCTTCACTTCATGCTATTATTACCCTTCCATGTCTCTGAACATGAAGTGTAGGGTAACATAACAAGTTGGTTACCCTGTATAAAAATGTGTGTAACAAAATGTCACCCAGAGTACAATGTAGCCTTGTGCAGCTTCCTATCGGTGCCGCTGGAACTGCCTGGCTGTGTTTGCCTTCATCTGAACGGCTTTCATCTGGACCAGTGTAAACTAAGCCCTGGTAAGTAATCACTGCCCAGCAGAAAGAAAGGAATGTATACAGCTAGCGAGGCCTAAGCTGTAAAAACGGAAATCTGAGCCCCTACTTCGGATCACATATCAAGGCTTGAAGGTAGGGGAAATGAAAGGGGAAAAGAGGAGAGAGGGAATGGAAAAGTCAGCCTGGGAAGTGAAGGATCAGGAGGAGGCCTCCCTTAGGGAGATTTGGCTCAGGGATTAGGGAATTTTATCATGGTGTACAGTGACCTACTCAGGTTTCAACACTGGTTGGATCCAGTTGCTTCTCTGTGAGCTGAAAGAAAAAACACTGGAGTGTATGTGATTTTTTTTTCCCCTTGTGGTAACAGAAAGGACATTGGTACAAGTATCTATTTTAAGTACAGCAAAGGCAAAGCACTGAGAATGAGCAACAAATTTGCTTCATCTCAGATACTTCCTTCAAGATTTCCTAATTAAGATAGTCACATATTTATGTAAAAGGTGGTTGGAGAAGACATACTGGCTGAAGTTTAGCTGACATCAGTAATGGCATTGGAGATTGTCTTCATGTGGCTGGGAGCTAATGTTGGTTGCTGTTTCACTAGATCAGATATTGAGTTACATTTTCGTTATCACTGGTATAATGTACATGGCAGTTGTAACAAATTTAAATTTGATACAATATAATTTTGTGTGTGGAAAGTACATGACTTGGCATAGCTTGCTTTGGCATACTTCAGTGACAGTATCTTGAAGTAGAAATATTTGTCTCTTTATGATCTTTACACTGTCTCTTAATCTTTCCTACTTTTCTGATTTTTGATTAAAAAAAACATTGTTTTGTTGTGTTGACACAACACAGTAGAGAGGATTTTAAAACATCCAATGGCAATGTAATTTACGTTTTGGCTATTTTTGGTTTCTATAAAAAAAATTGTCAGTTATGGGTCTTGAACTCTGGGCCTGGGCACTGTTCTTGAGCTCTTCAGCTCAAGGCTAGCACTCTACCACTTGAGCCACAGTTCTACTTCCTGTTTTTGGTTTCTAAAGTGAATACTGGGATTTTATCTACTGTAGTATATATCCTTGCTATACTGTTAGCTCACATGTGTCATAATAAATGCATATCACAGAGGAATCCCATCATATGGAAGGGTTAGTTTCAGGAGTTCTTCTAGAACATGGTAGACATAATACACAAACTAGTTTGTGTTAGTGAATGTGTAAACATATGTTCAAGCATAAATGCTAGCTGCATTTAAGGATATGTATTTTGCACCCAAAGATCTTAGTGAACTGTCATCAGTATATCCCGAACAACAGAACTCAAAAAGTGTAAAGTGTGAATAGAGATAATGAGTCAGGTTTTTATCTTTTTAAACTCTGACAAAGCTAATGTGATTGGATCAAGTACACTGTCCTGGAAACTTTCCTAAACAAACCATAATTAATGTACTTGTAATATTTGGCTTCTTTATCAACTACTAAACTACAGGATAGTCTATGCTAACTGTCACAGAGTCTTACCTTTACTAGAGGAAGTTTCTGTCTACAGATATTCTCAGTAAGTAATTTGTACCTAAATTTATGCTTTGGTCCTGTTGCCTGCAGTTTGGGGCAGGCACATCTGGTAAAGTTTAGTAGGACACTTACCACAAGATTTTCTAGTTTGGTCTACTGATGGTCTCCATTTGGCATTAAAAATGACCTATGTCAATTGCATAGACAATAAGGCAACTGCAGTGAGTTAAGTAGCTTGATGTTTAAAAAGAATTAGAGAAATCAGAGTGAGAATTGTAAAATTCAACATATTTAAGATGGACATGATCTCATTATTTAATCAGTTATATTTTAAGATTTGCTGCTGAAATGCTACCCTGTTATGTTAAATGCATCAAGGAACTTAGAAAGCAGGCCTGGAAGCACATCCCACTGAGACATTCACAAATTGTATCAGACCTTTCTTGCTGAATGATAGCTTCAGGTGCACAACATGACAGGGTTAGGGGCTAATAAAATCAGGACAAGGACCTTGCTCTTTGGCAGCAGGTATGGGATGTTCCTGTACCCTTGTCATTGCCATCCATTGTCCAGCTCAGGCTAAACCCATAAGAGACAGTCCTGAGAGGACTTGGAGAGCTATGCATTGTGCTCTATTCCAACAGAGGTTTCTGGGTAGGCTCTCTTTCACCATCTGTGAGCCTCTGATTCTGATGTGCCATAGAGCACCATTCTCTCTCACAGGTTCCAGAGACAAGGAAATGGAAAGGAACCTCTCCACTTCCTACCAAATCTGAAATAAACATTTGAACTAGAAGAAAATGAGTCTGACAGACTCGTTCCCTTCTGCGTTTCCTGCCTCTGTGCTTGCCAAGCCTGCTCTGAGGAGCCAAGCCCTACTCT